TTGCTCCACGCACTTTCATACCACCGGCACGTAACCAACCACGCCAATTGGAGGTTGTGTGGGGGAGGTAAGGGCGACAACGTTAAACACAACAACAAGCAGTTCTAAAGACACGAGTTTGCCAATCTTAGATGATGATGATGATGATTTAAAAGTGCATCGCAGCTCCCAGTGGGCCCCCCGCATACCGGAAAAGCATTCCAGACGGCCACGGAAGCGCATTCCGACAGCGCCGTGCGACGCGGTGATCACCGTCTTTGATCGATGTTTATACAACACGTGGCCCATCGTCAATCCCCTGTTGGACAGAGTTAAGTGGAATCTCACCCGATTAGAAAGGTGATCCGCCTAATTGCAATTAAGTCTGTGGGTCCCGTGGGAGTCTAGAAGTGTCACTGCGGGTGTCTGGGGTATATGTGAAAGTTTAGGGTCTCTGTGTGAGTCTATTAAAACGTATATAACTATAAACTCTTTTATTTTAGCAGGTAAGGCCCACTGAGCCGTACAGCTCTTTTACACGCTTTATTTCACTCACTCTGTCTGTTGTTGTTGTCGTATCCTCAAATCTTGCAACTCAATTTTAACCCACTTCCCAATGTGGTATCGACTGCAAACTTGGTATACTTATGTCATATTGATGACGATACTATATTCTATCATTAAAAATAAAAAAAACATGTTTAAACCATATTTTTTAAATGTTATGTTTCGCCTTGGGTCTAATTGTCCACGCTCAACTGACGTTGGCTGTAAATCACCACGGCCCCTTACGTTGTGGCAAGCCTCGGGGCCACTTCCTGGAGTCGTGGAGTTCTGCCATTACTCGTACGGTACATTTCATTAAAGCGTGTTTAAAAAAATGTATTTTTAAATATTACTTATTTCAGAGGCGATCTAGCCATCATAAATTATAGCTCAAAAAGGGGCTTATTTTGTTAAAGAAGCACTGCAAATGAACGGTTACAATGATGAAATGAACGGTTACATTGACGCACAAATGAACAGGGCATTGAATGCCCAAACCCAATCAAATGAACGAGCGTTGAAATTGTCCAAGTAATTAAAACGATCAAAATACCGTACACATTGCGGGAGTCACTGATAAACTAGCCAGATGTTTGGAAAAACAAAATATCCGAGTCAGATTTGGCACAGTACATAAAATACGAAAATTAATATCTGGTACAAAAGATGTGTTACCGAAGCTATCAACAGAAGGTGTGTCCAGGATTCACTGCACGTGCGGTAAATGTGATGTTGGGCCAACATGACGAATGATCAGCACGAGACTAAAAGAACATCAGAGAAATATTAAATTCTCCCAAATACAACTGTCAGCAGTAGCAGAACACGCGTGCCAACAAGGACACTCAATTGATTTGGATAATGTTGAAGTTCTGGGCAAAACTAGCTACTACTGGCCAAGACTAATTAGAGCATTTATCGAAAATGAAATAAATAAAAATAATTTAACCGTTCGGATAGCTACCGCTTTAGTGCTGCGTGGAAGCGAATCATCAAATAAAACATTATTTAAATGCATCCCGAGAAATGCCAACATACTTCAATAGGGATTACCGTTGGTACGGCTATTTTAATAAACACAATAGACAGGAAGGACAAGTTCTAAGGGCTCGCATCATGCACATGCATAATGCGCAAGAGCGCAGAAGCGTGGTCACCACATCTACGCCTCTAGATGAGGAACGAAACAGGTGATGACTTCTCCACAAATCTGGCTGTCGCCTGATGAAGCTGGTTGTAATTACTGGCGAAACGTCGTTACTCAGATTGTAAATGTTGTGGCTTGGCTCTTCAACACACCGGGGTGCTGTACTAGTATACTACACTATACACTTCACTACACACTACACTACTACACACTACACTACTACACACTACACTACTATACACTACACACTACTATACACTACACACTACACTACTATACACTACACACTACTATACACTACACACTACACTACACACTACACTACACACTACTATACACTACTATACACTATACACCAGAGGTGGGACAAAGTCATTGTTATGCAAGTCCAAGTCGAGTCTGAAGTCATCAAATTCATGACTCGAGTCTGACTCGAGTCCAAGTCACATGACTCGAGTCCACACCTCAGCTATACACTACACACTACACTACTATACACTACACACTAGTGCTGTACTAGTGACGAATTGGCACGTTCTGTTTACATTACAACCCTTACTAGTTGGCTCTGTCGGGTGGTGGCGGGTTTAACGACACATTTACATATTTGTGCGATCTAACCCACAAAAACCTCTATTATGAAAGGGGCTTATCCTGGACATTTATAACAGCCGAATACTCTAAACGTGTGATGTTGATTCTAAATGTCGAGGGAAACACCGAAGGACCTGGAGAAAATTCCATGTGACTACGGAGAGAGAGAGACGCAAACTCCAAATATACAGCAGGCGTCAGGGTCGGGATCGAACCCACGACCTCCTGTACACCAGGCGAGGTAGTCAACATCTCCCAGCCACCGTGATGATGATGAGAGAAAGCGACACACAAACTCCAAATGTCCAGCAGGCGTCAGGGTCGGGATCGAAACCACAAGCTCCTGCATACCAGGCAAGGTAATAAACATCCCCTATGGGTACCTTTGCAAGCCTGTGTCTCACCGAGTGTATGGGGTATTTGAGCAAATCTGCGGGTCCCTGTGTGAGTCCATTGGAACCTGTGCTAGCTGATACCTCTCCGAGTGCAGGGGGTGTTTGTGCGGTGGTGTAACGGTTCGCGCTACGCTGCGCCACGAACCCAGCAACCAGAGTTCGATACCTGCTCACGGCCACCACCAACACCAGCGACGATTATCTGAACCGGTCCTGGGGCTCCCCTAGGTCGACTGGGCCTCAAATGAGTACCTGGTGCGGTGTGTAGTAAACATCGCCACTGGGGAGACAAAGGCGGCCGGGCGTGGTGCTGGCCACCCACCCCCTCGTGTGCCGTGCCGACCTTCATAGGTGCTCGCTAACAGCACTTGCCCCTACAGTCTTTTCAGGCTATACTGGCTATCTTTGCCTTTTGGGTGAATGTGCAAGTCGAGGATCGATGCGCACGTATTTGCGTTTATCTGTGTGACTTAACGTCTCTGTACAAGTTCTATGGGTCTCTCCGCAAGTTCTATGGTTCTCTGTGCAAGTTCTATGAGTGGTAAGTTCTATGCTATGGGTCTCTGTGTGAGTCTATGGGTCTCTGTGTGAGTCTATGGGTCTCTGTGTGAGTCTATGGGCCTTTGTGTGAGTCTACGGGCCTCTATGTGAGTCTAAGGGTCTCTATGTGAGCCTATGGGTCTCTGTGTGAGTCTACGGGCCTCTATGTGAGTCTATGGGTCTCTATGTGAGTATATGGGCCTCTATGTGAATCTATGGGTCTCTATGTGAGTCTATGGGTATCTATGCGAGCCTATGGGTCTTTATGCGAGTCTATGGATCTGAATATGAGCCTATGGGTCTTTATGCGAGCCTATGGGTCTGAATATGAGTCTACGGGCCTCTATGTGACTCTATGGGTGTCTATGTGAGTCTATGGGTCTCCATGTGATTCTATGGGTCTCTATGTAAGTCTAGGACGTCAATGTTGCGTTGTGTGGGGCAATCCAAGTATTGGCCGTTTTTACCCGCACTTATTTAAACGCAAGGTCAAGTCTCGTATAGTCTATTTTTAGTCTCAGCGAGGCCTCCCACTCGCCCTTGAAGAGCTAATAAATGATATTGAAGGCAGACACGTCTCCATGGCTCATATACACACAAGGCAAAGAGAGATCCACCAATACCACCACCACTACTACGACCACGATCACCACCATCGTCAGCATCCCCAGCATACCCAGCATCACATCGTCACCATCAAGACAAAGATCCCCCGTGTAGCCTTAACAGACTGTTCGGGCAGGTGATGTGAGCGAGTAGCAGCTATGAAGGCCGGCACGGCACACGAGGGGGTGGGTGGCCAGCACCACGCCCGGCCGCCTTTGTCTCCCTAGTGACGATGTTCACTACACACCGCACCAGGTACTCATTTGAGGCTGAATACACACACACGAATGCACACACACATACACAAATACATAGACAGGTACACACACAGGGATAAACACACGAATGCACACACAGGTACACACATACACAAATACACACACAGGTACACACACAGGTACACACACACACGAATGCACACACAGGTACACACACACACAGCTACACACAAGTAAACACATAAACGCGAACACACGCACAGGTACACACACACATACACACGAATGCACACACACTTACACACACAAACAGCTACACACACAAGTAAACACAAACGCGAACACACGCACAGGTACACACACGAATACAGATACACACAAGTACACATACACGAACTGCACGTATAGAGACACGTACACGCACACTGTCTACACATGTGTACGTGCACACGTGAATACAAAGACAAATGCCCCCCGTGTAGCCTTAGCAGACTGTAGGGGCAAGTGCTGTTAGCGAGTAGCAGCCCCTATGAAGGCCGGCACGGCACACGAGGGCGACGTTTGCTACACACCGCACCAGGTACTCATTTGAGGCTGAGTCGACCTAGGGGAGGCCCAGTCGTACACACCGCCACGCACGGCGCGCTCACAGAGGCAAGCCGAACAATCCACATCAACAACAACGACTACATTTAAACCCCATATACCAAACACAACCATAGACACGTAATCGCGTAGACGTACACACACACACACGCGCACACAGAGAGAGACCCCGGCTCGGCGTGCCGGCCCCTACCGGCCGAGGCGCGCCCTGCCCGGCACGAGGCGCTATCCGAGCGCCGTGGTCTCGATAGCGGCCTACGTCGCGGCGCGAATAGCGGGGACCGATGCGGGCCTGGTGAAGACGACGACGATGATGGAGATGATGAGGTGGATGATGAGGTGGATGATGAGGTGGATGCGGCGACTCACCCAGCAGCTTCTTCACCTCGTCTTCGCTCATGAAGATGTTGACGGAGCTCTCGACGGCGAGCACCGCGAGGAGAAGCGAGACGGCCGGGAGGAGGTGGACATGGGTGACCATGGTAGCACGATGACCTCCTCCTCCCCCCTCCTCCTCCTCGTCGTCGTCCTCGTCGTCTTCTCCACCTCGTTCCTCTTTCAATCTTCGCCCCAACACCACCAACAACTCCACCACCAACAACTCTACCACCGACACCAACACAACCAACACCACCAACAACTCCAACTCCACCACGGGTCTCTCTGTGCCCCACGCCGCTCTCTTCACTTCGTCTCACTCCTCACCTCCTCCTCCTCACCACCACCACCTCCTCCTCCTCACCACGTCTCCTCACTCCTCACCACCACCTCACTCCTCACCACCTCACTCACCTCACCACCTCCTCACCACCTCCTCACCACGTCTCCTCACTCCTCACCACCACCTCACTCCTCACCACCTCACCACGTCTCCTCACTCCTCACCACCTCACCACCTCACCACCTCACTCACCTCACTCACCTCACACCTCACCACCTCCTCACCTCACCACACCTCCTCACCACACCTCCTCACCACGTCTCCGCACTCCTCACCACCTCACTCACCTCACCACCACCACCACCACGTCACCACCACCACCACCTCACCACCTCCTCACCACCTCCTCACCACGTCTCCGCACTCCTCACCACCACGTCTCCTCACTCCTCACCACCACCACCACCTCCTCCTCACCACCTCCTCACCACGTCTCCGCACTCCTCACCACCTCACTCACCTCACTCACCTCACCACCACCACCACCACCACGTCACCACCACCACCACCTCACCACCTCCTCACCACCTCCTCACCACGTCTCCGCACTCCTCACCACCACGTCTCCTCACTCCTCACCACCACCACCTCCTCACCACGTCTCCGCACTCCTCACCACGACCTCGTCGCTCTGCGGCCTCGCTGCGTCTGCACGAGTTTTGTTGTTTCAAGTCTCCCAGGAGGAGGAGGGGGGAGGGGGGAGGGAACCGGATCCTCGTGGATCCGGGTCCTCGTGTCGAGCTGACGATTATCGCGATACTACGATATATATCGGCGCATCACGATATATATCGTACGATACATCTGCGATATGTCGATACTACGATATATCGTGCGACATGACGATACTACGATATATCGTGCGACATGACGATACTACGATATATCGTGCGACATGACGATACCACGATATATCGTGCGATGTGACGATACTACGATATATCGTGCGATGTGACGATACTACGATATATCGTGCAATGTGACGATACTACGATATATCGTGCGATGTGACGATACTACGATATATCGTGCAACGTGACGATATTACGATATATCGTGTGATGTGACGATACTACGATATATCGTGCGATGTGACGATGCTACGATATATCGTGCGATGTGACAATACTACGATATATCGTGCGATGTGACGATACTACGATATATCGTGCAACGTGACGATATTACGATATATCGTGTGATGTGACGATACTACGATATATCGTGCGATGTGACGATACTACGATATATCGTGCGATGTGACGATACTACGATATATCGTGCGATGTGACGATACTACGATATATCGTGCGATGTGACGATACTACGATATATCGTGCGATGTGACGATACTACGATATAGCGTGTGACGTGACGATACTACGATATATCGTGTGATGTGACGATACTACGATATATCGTGTGACATGACGATACTACGATATATCGTGTGATGTGACGATACTACGATATATCGTGCGATGTGACGATACTACGATATATCGTGCGATGTGACGATACTACGATATATCGTGTGAATACATCGAGACGACCAAAAGAGGTTCGTACAGTGGCCGTGGCTAAAGTTTTTAGCGTCAAAGTTTAAAAAAAAAAGTTGCCACCATAACGTGGAGGGCTGCGTCTTGTAACAGTTTAGGGCCGTCCATAAATGACGTCACGCACCCAGGGGGGTCAGACATTTGTGACGATGTGTGACGAGAATGTGACATCCCATAAAAATGCGCAACTTTAAATATAAACATAGACAACACGTTCTACTTAATTAAATAGACTTTTTAATACATTTTTCTCCTACAACATCAGAGTGCAGCAGCGCCACATTAAATATGCACTACAATGACAATAGTTTCGATTTAAAGCTTTCGTGACTGCAGGGATTCATCTTCTTGGTTCTTTCGGTAGTCACGTAGAATGGAAATAATAAAATAATAAAAATAAAACATAACAAATAATTCTCACGACGTTTCGGCCACAACGCAAGCAGCCGTCCTCAGGTGAAAACCAGGTTGCGTTGTGGCCGAAACGTCGTGAGAATAATTTTATTATGTTTTATTTTTATTATTTTATTACTTCCCTTCTACGTGACTTTACCGAAAGAACCAAGAAAATGACAATAGTTTAAAGCGATTTGAATCGTGTTTTATATTTTGGGGGGGGGGAGGGGCAGAGCTTTGTGACGTCATATTTGAGGGGGGTTTGACTTTTTGTGACGCCGTGTGACGATGGGGGGGGGGGGGGGGTCAAAAATCGTCCAAAATCGAAGCATGCTTTATTTTCAAAATGTAAATATGTTTTTTTTTGGGGGGGGGGGGGCAGAGCTTTGTGACGTCAGTGCCTTACCAACGACGGAACATCAGGATTCAGGCCCTGTAGGAGCAGGTCTTCAATGATTGCAATAGCATCAGGGCCGGCTACCTTGGTGAAGAGGGAGACTACATCGAAACCGACAAGCAAATCCCCCGGGGGCGGTGAGGACATGCCCTTGACTAGTGCAACCAAGTGGGCGAGTTGATGGTGGAGACGATAGGACGGAGTGGAGTTCCCTCTTTATGGATTTTTGAAAGGCCGTCAAATCTGGGTGGCCTAGCCGAAGGTTTTAGAGAGAAAGAGCTTCTTCTTGGTTCATATTCTTAGGTTTTTTCGGTAAAGTCACGTAGTTAAAAAAACATTAAAATTAATAAAAGTAAAATAAAATAAAAATCACGACGTTTCGGAGGCAACACAAGCTTCCGTCTTCAGGTGGAACCGTCACAGCCACGACAGCCGTATCAAGTGAAATGAGAGATTGCAGGAGCTACCACTCCGTTTCTATAATGGTTGGAGAGGGGGGAAGGGCCAAGTACGGCACACTTTTTATTAATATGGTAAGGTGAGGCTTAAGAGGGTGAGCCTTTGTTATGGAGAGGTACGGTTTGTGACTCAACCTGTGACAAGGAGAAAACAACTGAACATGGTAAACCTGTAATAGTTGTCTGTCAAATAAGATTGGCCAAATAAGTGCAGTTAAATCTTTTTTGCATGGTTGATCACATCTTTCCAATGATTACTCAGTTTGTAACCATCATCACGGTTGAAATTATGTCTGTGTTTGTATATTTGTATGGCTTCGTGTACAAACCTTTGATGGTAGCCAGGAGGTTTGCAGAGAACCTTGGTCTCGGAAAAGACAATTTCATGAGAGCCCACCGAGTTGTAGCAATGGTTCTTTCGGTAAAGTCACGTAGAATGGAAATAATAAAATAATAAAAATAAAACATAATACAATTATATTATTTTTTACCGAAAGAACCAAGAAGATGAATCCCTGCAGTCAGGAAATCTTTAAATCGAAATAGAGAGAGAGCTGTTTGGTGGGTTCGATTATGGAAGTCGAATGAGTGATGATTGTGTTGGTTTTAGTAGCCAGGCTATTGGTAGGGTCTATAACACATTCCTGCAGAGGGAGCTGGTAGGAACGTCGGATTGCTCGGTCAATGGCCAGGGTCAACGGCGGCGTGGTGTATTCCGACTGTGAGGGCGGGCACAAGCCGGCGTGAGTAGGTGAAACGTTGAGTTTTATAAGGGCACCACGGGGTGACCAGCCCCTCCCCACCCAGACCCACCCCTCCCACCCCCCACCCAGCCCCTCCCCACCCAGCCCCTCCCTGCACGACGGACACAATAATCCCCTGTGGGCTGGTGTAACCAGTATAACCTCTTGTTACAGCAGCCCTTTTGCCCACTTCAGCAATTGTTTCTTGCTGTGCTTGTCCCACCTGATGACGGACGCTTGTGTTGCGCCCGAAACGTCGTGATTTCATTTATTTTATACCGGACACAAGCTAACCCCTTCGGTCTATGCCGGAATCAAAATTCAGTCTAATGGTCGAGGAAACCGAGAATCTGTTGGTTATTCAGGAACGGAACTACATAGCAATCAGATCTGGAAAGCACTCGTCATCAACAGCCTTCAGCCATGGATTTGATTTCGAAAAGTTGCTTACTCTCGAGGAGTTTGACGTCATTACAGGGAGTGGTATTGATCGATTGGTCAAACCAATTTTAGTGTCGACAGTTGATGTTGGCCCGGACGAGAACCCGAGATACCACAAAGTGATGAAGGTTGCAGCCCACCGCTTTCTTCAGCGCGATTTCGACGCTTTATTTCTCGCTACCAACGCTCCAGGAAGAATAGGGTCGAGAACAAGTATAACCCGTAAAAACAAAGTTTTTCACTATAAATCCTTTATATGCGTCGGCAGCTAGAGTCCTCTCGTCCTCTGGCTTGAGATGCCTGCCACCTATGGGTCAAATGATTGCATGCCAGCATTAAGCAATTGGTAATTAAATATAATAGTTTTGTCCTAAAAAGTGTAACATTTTTGAAAAAAAATTTCACGAACATTAATTGTCACGCACAACGAGTCTGTGTGGAAAATGTTAGCTCGATTGTATCACGGGAAGTGGGTTAAAAAACGACCGAAAGATTTGCACGGTCGTAAGCAAGCAAATGAACTTAATATAAAGGATTTAAAAATGGCGCCACTCAGTAAGGAACTTACTGGATTGATATTACCACGTGACCACTACGGCAGTCATTTGAACGAAAGAGGCATTACCATCGACGCTGATTTAGAGAATAATTTAAAGTTTGCAGGAAACACTCTCGCCGAAATTTGGTCACATTTGATCGTCGATAATTGTCTGACAGGATTGATATTATAATTGTTTTTTTACTATCTGGCAACAAAACTGACACCTTTTTTACAAGGAGTCATGTTTGCATAAACCACAATACCTGCAGTCATAATGCAAACAAAAAACATAACTCTGATAATGTATGCACTGTTCTTGAAGTTGATTGGTCCACACCCGAGACAGCTTTCTTTAGAGCCTAGTCTCACATGGGTTGGACCAGATGACGCCAAAAGGCGCACAACTCAAATACAATGCACCATCAGAGTATGAGAGCTCGGGGTAAGCATTTACACCATTGGAACCTCATTTGCCAGTAATTGATATTACCACGTGACCACTACGGTAGCCATTTGAACGAAAGAGGCATTACCATCGACGATGATTTAGAGAAGAAGAATTTTAAGTTTGCAGGAAACACTAGCCGAAATTTGGTCACAGTTGATTGTCAATAATTTTCCGACAGAGTCTGAGCTTCAGGAACAAAACCTCTTGTCCAGAGATCAGAAATGATACGGCGCCCACGTACGAACAAGCCAATACTTGACACATATTGTAAAATGCACCGACAACAAATGCTGTTTGCAACCAAGAAGCTCCTATTATTACACGCTTTTATTTAACTCACTCTGTCTGTTGTTGTTGCTGTCGTTGTTGTTGTTGTCGTATCCTCAAATATTGCAACTAAATTTTAACCCACTTCCCAATGTGGTATCGACTGCAAACTTGGTACACTTATGTCATACTGATGACAATACTATATTCTATCATAAAAAAATAAAAATAAAAAATTTAAACATTCTTTTTTATACGTTATGTTTCGGCTTGGGTCTAATTGTCCACGCTCAACTGACGTTGGCTGTACATCACCACGGCCCCTTACGTTGTGGCAAACTTCGGGGCCACTTCCTGTAGTCGTGGAGTTCTGCCATTACTCGTACGGTACATTTAATTAAAGCGTGTTTTTAAAAAGTCTTTTTAAATATTACTTATTTTAGTCTGGTAACAGACATATGTTTTCCTCCTCCTTTACCAGTCGTTCAAACAAGCGGAGGTCTTAAAATTCCAGAACGGACAACAGACGAAGCATCTCATAAATTCCCATCTCTGTTTGCAGCACCACAAAGTTTGAAAGTGGATAGGATTCATCTTCTTGGTTCTTTCGGTAAAGTCACGTAGAAGGGAAATAATAAAATTATAAAAATAAAACATAATAAAATAATTCTCACGAGGTTTCGGCCACAACGCAAGCAGCCGTCCTCAGGTGAAGAACAGGTCTGTCGGAAAGACAGCGTCTGAATGGGCACCACCAAGCTTGGCAGCGTATATTTAAGCTGGGTTGGAGGGGGGAAGAGCGCCTTGACAAAAGAATTTGGATAGGATTTGCAAGAAATGTGACACACAAGAAGGAATTCATCTTCTTGGATTTTTCGGTAAAGTCACGTAGAAGGGAAGTAATAAAATAATAAAAATAAAACATAATAAAATAATTTTATTTTATTATATTATTTTATTATTTTATTTTATGTTATTATATTATTTTATTATGTTTCATTTTTATTATCTTATTACTTCCCTTCTACGTGACTTTACCGAAAAAAAAAACAAGAAAATAAATCCCTGCAGTCACGAAAGCCTTAAATCGAAACAAGCAGGAATCAATTCTTATTCCGTCCAAACGCATCAGTCCACACAGAGTCGGCAACTTGAACTAATGGTTGTGATCGCGAACGAAGAAAATGGAAAGAGTGCAGAGTGTATAGATGAAGAAGAGCTTGATCTGAATGGAATATCCATTCCACAGGATGAAGAGATCCATGCCTCTCACTATTAATTCCATGAAGGAGCATTTTGCTTCTCTATGGGAGAATGGAGAAGCATAAATTTAGTTTTAAAAAAAAGAATGATTGTTATGAAACATTTTTATTCTAATGATTCTACCAGGGCTTTTCATTCTGTGGAATGAATATGCGATTGTTATAATTGTACTCTCCATTTTGAATCGTTCTACTACAAAGTTTCAATTATTTTTTTATAGTTAAAATTACTTTTAATATGTGATACATTTTAAGATAATTTCAATATAATATTCTGAACATCTGCAGTTTTAGTTAGACGATGATTTTTTCAAGTGAATTTTATGCTAAATTTCAGCTTTCCAACGCCTCCTTTTCAATAAATGTTTTCTCCTACAACATCAGAGTGCAGCGCCACATTAAATACGCACTACAATGACAATAGTTTAAAGCGATTTGAAGCATGTTTTATTTTCAAAATGGAAATATGGTTTTGGGGAGGGGGGGGGCAGAGCTTTGTGACGTAATACTTGAGAGGGGTCTGACTTTTTGTGACGCCGTGTGACGAGGGGGGGAGAGGGGGGGTCAAAAATCCGCCAAAATTGCGTGACGTCATTTATGGACGGCCCCTAACTGGACATCGGTGATTAAAGGGTTTCATTGCCATTCAGGGTTCCCTCCTGCGATGGGACCGGGACGCCTGTGCCAGGCCACGTTGCACCTCGCGGCCACGTGAAGTATCGGAAGATTCGCTGGCTCGGAACTGGGCCATTCGTACAACTCAAAAACTGTAAATGTTGTGGTTTCACTCTTCAACACACAGGTGGGCTAAAGCAGTGAACTATTTGTCTTTCGTCAACGTGACACGTTTTTGCTGATTGGCCGTGTCGGGTGGTGGAGGGTTACGACACATTTATAAGTAACGCGATCTAACCCAAAAACGTTGATTATGAAAAAAACACTCCACTACTACACTATACACAACACACTACACTACTATACACTACAATTTACACTACTATACACTACATTATACACTACACTATACACTACACAATACAATACACTACACTACTATACTACACTATACACTACACTATATACTACACTACACAATACACTACACTATATACTACACTATACACTACACTATACACTACGCTATACACTACACTATACACTACGCTATACACTACACTATACACTACACTATACACTACACTACACACTACACCATACACCACATTATACACTACACTATACACTACACTATACACTACACTATACACTATGCTATACACTACGCTATACACTACACTATATACTACACTATACACTATACACTACACACATGCTCTGGTAATATATGATGATGCATTGCCTTTGAGACTGATTGCTCCACACCAGAGGCAGCTTTCTTTCGAGCCTCGTCTCGGGCCCAGCTCAGCCATCTCCGACCTACGACCCGCCGGGGCCCCCGTCGTGGCTAAACGCCGTTGGCGGTGTTGGGCGTCTGCTGAATCTCGCTCCGCATGATCTGCAGAAGGAGCTTCCTCTGCTCCAACTCGGGCAGCGGATCCTTGTCCAGGTAGTCGAGGAGGGTGTCGCATGCCCGCGTGGCCGCCACGCGCCGCCACGCCATCGACGGGCCTCCGTGGCCTCCCTCGCCTCCCTCGCCTCCGTGGCCTCCGTGGCCTCCGTCGGTCAGCTCCTCATCATCATCACCCTCCTCGTCGTCGTCGTCGTCGGTCCGCCCGTGCCACGCGGGGTCCGCCGAGTCCCTCGACGAGAGCCAATCGGTGACGTCCTCGAGGCTGGCGCCGCCGCAGCCCGGCACGGCGCGGAGGAGCTCCAGGCATTCGAGGGCCGAGCGCGCGAGGTCCGCAGCCTGCGACCGGTCTCCATCGTAGTCGTCCAATCCTGCGTCGTCTCTAACACCTCCTGCCGTCGTCTTTGTCGTCTCTAACACCTCCATCGTTGTCTCCTCCTGCGTCGTCTCTAACACCTCCATCTTCTCCGTCGTCTTTGTCGTCTCTAACATCTTCGTCATCATCTTCGTCGTCGTCTTCATCATCATCTCCGTCGTAGTCGTCTCCCCCGTCATCTCTAACATCTCCGTCATCTCCTCCTCCACCGTCTCCGCCGTCTCCGCCCCCCTGTACCTCCGATGCGGTGGCGGTGGCGGCACTGGGCGGAACCGGAGGCGCACGGAACCCCTCTGGCCACAGCGCCTGCCAGCAGCGCTGAAGGGCGTCGCTCCGCAGCGACCGCCAGGCGGCGGCGACGCCGGCGAGCGCGTCCCTGACGGTGAGGCCGCCCCAGAAGCGGCCGGCGACATCCCGGGGGTCCCCGCCGCGGCCGCCGCCGTCGTTGGCCGCGGCGGCCACCGCCGCGTGCAGCTTCCTGAGCAGGTCCCTCCGGTACCGCCGCTTGAGCAGCGCCAGCGCCCCGCCGC